TCAGCTGCTGTTAGTTCTGAAGCGAAGAAAGGAGATTTGCATCAGGAGAACCATATCGACCCATTGAAAAACGCTTCGTAAAACTGCAATGAAAAATAAGACAATGTTTATGTAGAACTAGTAGTTGCTGCACCATGAGCGTAGCCAGGTTATCAATCAGGGGGGGAGGGGGGCAAATATATTAACACATCGACTGCCACAGTGAAAAAGGCTGTAAGTATCCAGACAGACTTTATTTTGTTTTTAAAGTCATAAATCGTTGAAAATGTATGGGTTTTGTAAATAGAGGTTGTTGGTCGTGTTTCAAATTATACTGCAATATTAAATATTACGCAAAAATTTTGTAACTCTGGGAAGGGAGGGGGGGGAGGGCAAAATGAAAATTTTTTTTCTTATAGGATGGGGCAAAAGCCACTTTTTTCCGCCCAGGGGGGCAAGTGTCCCCCCTGCCCCCCTCTAACTACGCCCATGTGCTGTACTGTCACAATGACATGCTTTGCGGCGATGTATCTTGTTTGAATTATGGCATTCACTTGTTATATAATTAGCTGGCCTCTCCTACGTTTTAGTTTGGTTCAGCTCGAAAAAAAGTAAGGATACGGTGTAACAACATACTTACTAACCAAGGTCAGATTAACACACGTAACTGTGGAGAAGGGTACGTAAATGTACATGTGTATACTGTGTATAATGTGTAGATATGTATTATATACAATATTATGAGTGATACATGTGTCGAAGACAGAGGAAATGTAATGAGAGAGAAAGAATGTCAGGAATGTGTTCGTTGTTCTTTTTTTAAATACAGAGTGTTAATAAATATGTGACACACTTTCACAGATGGATTCTACATGTCAAATAAAGACGAAAATCAAAAGTAACGTAATTGCGTTCGAGGCTTCGTTTCCGAGTTATTAATTGTTGAAAATACGAGCGAAATATAAACTCCTCTCGATTATCGTCCCGAACTCGAGTCCGCGCCAAGATAATAATCTTATAGGGAGAAATGCTTCAGATTAATTCGTTTTTTGCCCGGAGTCCGAGCCTCGGTACAACTCGCAACAAGATATGTGCTTGACTAGTTCCACGCCCCTTTCCACCCCCCCTCCGCCCCCAGTGGTGGGGATAACGCGTGGACAATAATCGTGTAGAACAAGTCAGACGATACTCCAGAGGAGTCTGTACGCGTGAAATACATTTGGCGCTATGAGTTATACTACTCGAACAACCGATTCCCAGATGATACGCAGGTTCGATCGATGACCTATTGTAACTAATGAATGCAATAAAATGAAATAAATGAAAGCAACTTCAACAAATAGTTGAAGAACGCGCGCCTCGAGTAGAGTAACTCAATCTTAACTTTCGTCTTACGATTAGTTTGACATGTAGAATCAATTCTGTGAAAATGTACCACATTTTTATTAACACTCTGTGTATGATTGTATTCGAAGCTCCCGCAAATGAACAAAGAAATGAAGCATTCAGAAAGAAAGAAATTCTTATTTCAAAAGTGTTCAACTCTAAATAATACAAAATTTATTTGCAATATTAAATCTTCAATAAACATTGTAAATAACACTGACTGGCATTTGACAATTAATGTAAATAGATATATGAGAAATCAATTCGTCGGTGACCTAATGAATCTAAAGTAAAACAAGTAAAACGGACGCTACCAAATTCAAGATTTGTTTATTTATTTAAAGAAAGTAACGTTTTTCTGGTGGACAAATATTTTTCTTAAAAACAAGATTTTTTATAAATACTAATCAAATAATATGTATGTAACGAAATACTGTATTTGATGATTGAAAATGCTTGCTTGTACTAACACGTTCTTAAATAATAAATGAAGAGATAAAACTTTATAAAATGTTATATAGTTGCACCATATGTTTCGTGGGTTAGTATTATACTTACTAATTTTATAAATAACTATTTAAAAATGTGTTTATCTCAGGCTTTCGAATTTAATACAATATCTGTATATTATTGATTATTACCAAGCTCGGTGGAACGTTATCTGCTTTTTACATTTAAGAAATAGTAATCCATAGATGTCGTGTTTCTTTTTTTGCCTATGCATATAGTTGCACATAATAAATCATTTTTATTATCTATCACTTTCAATGTTATCCCGACGACAATTGTGAACTGCATTGGGCATTGATGTATATTGTATATTTATAAGAAATAGCGTGACTCGAATTATTTAATTGTTGATTGCAATAGTTTAATTGTATGGTCACGTCTGTCGCAAAGAACATGTCTTCAGTAATAAATTGCAAGTAAAAAGATGGTCAATATGTAATTGTTTTCGAGATATTCAGTTTTTTACAGCGACTGACAGAAGCATCCGCCCATCCTATATGTATAATATACATATTTTACATATTTAATAATGTAGAAGTCAGAAGTACCAATCATAATTTATAATATATTAGTATTCATTTTTATTAACATACATTAAAGTATTATTATTATTAATACACATTGAAAAAGTATTATTATTTCTCAGAATGGCAAAAAACGTACACCCTGAATTTCACAAAAAACCGAATTCAATCAATACCTAACAAGTTAAAAGTTATAGTAAGATTGCGGAAATGTCCGATGAAGTTATATTGTAAATAAGTTTGTATAAAATAAGTATTCACTTTATGTAGATTCTCCTGTGTGTGCATTCTATTTTTTCTTCTACAGATAACGATACTTTTTCAAGTGAAGTCAGCATAATGTCTCAATTGAAAGCATCCTATTCGAAATCAGACTAACCAACTTTTGTAATAATGAAAATAATATAGTATTTCTAACTTTAACATGGATTAATTATGTAAAATATGTTGTAAGTATTAAGTGGGCGGTTATTTTTGTGAGTAACCATGTATATTACTTGTAAATGAACACAACTTCACTTGTGGCTGGCAAATCGTTACTAAAACAATAGCAATAACAATATAGGAATATAATAATAACAACTATTAGTAAACAGTAATCGTGACAATACTGAAGTACTTAAGTTATTTAATAGCAGTAGTTTAATAAAATATAAAATAATAGTAACAATTATTATTCTTATTATTAAATAACGCTAATAATGAGAATAATAATTGAATTTTATAATGGTAGAGAAAAATGTATATCACATTACTTCTAACTGCGATGTGTACCAGAATGAAATTTTAAACAAATGTTGTTCAATCATGAAAAACATTCTTCAAAATGTGAGTATATTTTTGGAGAATCAATTCTATATTTTACATACGTGCATCTATATTATACACATACGTCCGATAAAACTTAACTCTTTAGTTACAACTATATGTACTTTCACTTTTCTACATGCGGCTAATTTATCGGGAGTGTGCGTATACAAAAAAAAATGAATGGAATTTTGGATACCAAACGTAAACACGAACCAAATTTTCAATATTCGCTTAATGAACAAAAGTAACGCGTATGAGAAAATTAGGCCTATTGTTGTACAGTACTTGTATATACGTTTAGTGGTTGCCTTTCTACAAACATTTCAAATTGTTTCAGGGAATAAAACATAGAATCAATCTCCCAAAAATATTCCATATTTGTTTTAAAGAGTGTAGATGTTATTCATTCTGTACCTATTATATCTAATACCATAATACATATAGTAATGTAATTATATTTTATATTTTATAAATACATAATTACGTACTGCTGAGAGTATAAACAAAATTAGTACATAAGAATAGTAACATTTCGAACTGTTAAGTCACAAATTAAATTGACAGTCCAACACCTCAAAAACGGTTTCTTGGAAATCTGTATTTATAATGACTTTTCTATCCTTCTGTACTTTTGTTAAAATGAGTCATCATATTTCTTCGGATGTATAATTATGTATATGTTTTAAGACCGTTGTATAGCTTGACGTAATGTTCATTATGTACATGTTTTTCTTGTATTCTTTGTTACCGATCGTTAACACATCTTTGTATGTATCAGGAAATGCGTTTTCTTAAACTATTTTATATTTATGTAACAAATTTTCATTAAAAGTTTTCAACTACAGTTTTTAAACCGGTTGTATATTAAAGGTAATTCGTTTTTATAATTCAGCTCGGTTCACGTTTCGTTTACCTCGTTACAGCGGCTCCAAAATAGTTCTCGTACTCCATAATTGATCTCCCCTCTTATAGTACAATAATAAACCAACAATATAAGCAGCATTTTACTTGAATTTTTTAAATTGAAAAGATTATAGTCTATGCAGTTTCTTCAAAAATTCAAATTCTTCTTGAACTTTTACCTTCTTTACTTGTTTACATTATTTTTTAAATTTTGTTCTCTCGCCTTCTTTACATCGTTGGATTTATTACGTTATTACAATTTATAAGTGTAATAAAGTTATATTGTAACAAAAAGAGATCAAGTATAATGTACGGAAGCCATCTTGTTAGAGTTCCTGTACTTCTACAAAGTCTTTTTAGCAATTATCGCTTAGCAATAGAGTATAATTGTGCTTTTCTTATACAACTAACGTTGATCTGCCTGTGTAATCTTGTGGTTCAACGAGTTATCACTGTTTCGCTGTTCGTAAGTCAGAACGACGGTGCAAAAATGTTAACGATAATGTTTGTAATAGATCGCGTTAATATTTTGTGTCGTGTATTGCGAATCGCAGACATCACAGACGGGCAAGTCGATTGAAATTTATAAAAACTGGACATTAAAGAAAGAATTTAGAGTGATGGATACAAAATTTCGATACCTGTTTTTTTATTTGTTCAAAAACACGTAAAAATGTTCACTTTGTATCGAGTAAATAAATTATTTATTTAAATTACAAACAATTATTCAAACAATATTCTGCCCATCTATGATGAACATATAAACTACTTTTTTCGATACAAAAAATTTCATTCTATCTCCTCCTTCAGTTCCAACTCCGCCTCTCGCGGAGCGAAGAACCGCGTTAGTTTGAAGTCGTTTCGCATCATGCGTATGTACACTTACATATAGAGACGCGGCTTCCATTTTCTTTTCGTTTTGCACAGATAAAATCCTGTTCGGGGCGAGTGTATCGTGTTTTGTCAATTTCGAAGCACGCCTTGATTGCTTCGATTAAAAAAATTAACATGTGCAACCCCAAGCGTCGTCTTGTTGAGACGGCAACTGAGCTTTGATCACACTCTCTGCTCCTTCCCTCTCTGAAGCTTCGAATAAACTCGCCTGAAAATACAGAAGACGGACTACATTGTGGTAATAATGTCGAATAATACAATGGTTTCTGTAAACAATTTTATGGGGACACTTTTGTTGGTCAACCAACTCCTTGTCAACGTTTACTCACACACAGTCTCTAGCAAATAAGTACAATTTATCTCGACAGTTCAGAACAATAATACTGATCATTGCATATGAAATTTGTATCGAACCTGTATTATTCAGATCACCGTTGAATTGCTCTATTCCCTACTAAATTCATAAGTGTGTATGCAAAAAGTGATATTTATTGTCCGAAATATTCAGTATGCACATGTTCGATTTTTTTTTTGTAGGAAAAAATGTGCTTTTTGAACTTTCTGGGAGAACACAACCAAATGTAAACATTCAAACTTATTGTATTTGGCAATAAGAGAAAAAATTATTAAGATTAAAATCAAGAGTATATTATGTGCAGATACCTACAATTAAAATGTATCATATATATTTGCTGCTTTTTTTTTTGGAAAAAAAATATTTTTCACATTCTCGAACGCTAGTTCCCTTAATTGCATCTACCCTTCAATTGATGTTGCAGGATTATCAGTTAAGTAGAATGTAAAAATTAAGCAGCTTAATTCTAATACAATTTTACTTACAATTAGTACTTTAACGTAATGAGAAGTATTATATTTTTTCTACTCAGTTGCGTTGCGTATTGCATTTCGGCCCAGGTATTTATTTTTTATAACATAAGATTTCACCACCTGACGAATGTTTTTTTTACACATTTTAAACACTTCTCGACGGGGGGGCTAGTCCGTGTTCTGGGGGGGGCCAGGCCAACCCTGGTACCTACCTAGTTACGCCAATGCCGAAACGGCGTAAATTTCTAATCTTTTAGGGAATAAATATTGAATTTAATAAAATATACCGAATTACTTATTTATACATATATCTCATAATATAACTTCTGAATATCGAAAATTTTATATTGTACAATCTAATCATTTTTTGTGCCCGGTGTGTATGTATAATTCTAATTATTATTAAATAATACAAATAACAATACCCGGCGTCCGCGTTGTTCTCGTATTCTTCTAGCCAAAGTAAGAAACGCTTCCTCGATGTTAATGTTTTCTTTGCAAGACACTTCGAAAAATGGCATTTCGAAATGATCTGCTAGAAATTGTGCTCTTTCCGCATCAATAGCTCTGCGTGTAGTAACGTCGCATTTGTTCGCTGCCAATACCATCACCACGTCCGGTGGAGCATTCTGCAAAGAAAAAATTCTCATCTATTTATTACGAAGGGTGATATGCAAACAAATAAAGTAAAAGCGAGAAATTAAAATTGTATTATACATATATTCAAAACGTTGCCTTTGAAAAAATTGAAGACTTCGGATACTAAACTAAATTGTATAATGTACATATAATATATCTGAACCCCAGATCCAGAATGTATTAAGTCCATTTTTTAAAAAATCACATATTTTACATGTTTCCTGTATCAAATATTTCACATTCCGATGGTAAAAATTATTTCGTTTTAAGTCGTCTAGTTTTTAATATAGGTATATAATAGTATAAAAATGATATTAAGTTCATATTTTTAAAACAGTGTAATGTCCATCACATAGAGGAATTAATGCAAAGTTCACCATTTCTATATGTATATGTATAGAGACTTGTCTTAAATCCATTCAATAGTTCCAAGGTAGCGATTGTTTCTTGCTCAACTCTTATCGAACGGTTCCAATATTCCAAAATTACATGGTTTAATACACTCTGGCTCTGGGGTCCAGATGCGTAGTGTATCATAAAATGTATAATTAATTAAAAGTCAATATAAATTTCGTCAAAGGTACCCTGATGATTTCATTAATTATAAAAGACAAAAGAATTGGAATCTGTCATTTTGATGGCTTTGGTAGTACTAATGTTAAATCAATCTGCAATTGACTTTATTAATAATTTTAAATTAAAATTAACAAAGTTACTTTAACATTTCGAATTCATTTTTTCATAAAAAATCATTTTTGGAGCTCTAGAATCATATCTTATGTCATTCCTTAGAATCTGAAGTATACTGAGTGAAGTCGAAAATGTAGAATAAAATTTTTTCGTGTGATACTTCGTTTCCAAGATAATCGACTTTGCACATTCTACTTATTCTCACCACAAATACAAGTGTTTTAGATGAATTATCAAAATTGGATTTGCGCAAAGAAACCGGCTGAAAAAATTGTATTTTACGCATTTGACTTATGTCCACATAAAAAATCACTTTTTGCCCGCCTGTACCATCACTTCGGACGCACCCTGTATACATATGTATATCTATGTATTCTCACAGTATGTTTTATCTACCTGTCTTATAGAAAAAATTAAGTTATGCGTTTATTTTAAATTAAGGTAGATATGCTTACCTCTTGAATATTTCGTAGCCAATATGACAGGTGATTAAAACTATCTAAACTAGTTACGTCGTACATCAGAAGAATACCCATAGCACCACGGTAATAAGCTGTGGTTAGCGTTCGGAATCTCTCTTGACCGGCAGTATCCCTTTAATAAATCAATTACAAATAACAGTAATTAACAATGCATCAATTCTAAATTTTGTGCATTATATTACGTAATAGTATTACCTATTATATTTAGTATTTTTATTTTATTATATTACATATACATATATTTCTTTTACTCTCTATCCTCCTATTCTTTATGTTTATAATGATTCATCTAGTATAAATATATGAAATTAAAATTAAAAAATATCTGTAGGGTACTTTGAGAAAATTGTATTTTGAAATGTAAATATGTACTTTACTAAAATTCTCTTTTCACAAATATTTTCAATAAAGTTTATTAATAAAATTTAATTGATAGAGTAATATAACATAAACATGTAAAGTTGTATAAAAATTTATAGTTTAACCATAAATCGTCAGCTTAGGAGATTAAGTAAATGTTAACCCATTGTGAACGAGAATTTCTTTTATAAATAACATTATACAAAGCTTAAATAAAGAAGACTTAAATTTCAGGAAGACAGAGAAATGTATATTGTTTCATTATTGTCAGAGAACGAAATAATTTGTTTGCTGCAATAATCGCGACTGCCGATTCTCTAATCTAATAATTCGTGAGTTCCATCTGGAAATTGTGGTTTTTGCCTCCAAATATTACTGTGCTGAATGAAAAATAAAAGAATTATACAAGTTGATACCACTCACCAAATCTGAAGTTTAATTGGTGTTCCATCCAGGTTAATTATCTTTTGCTTGAAGTCGATACCTGTTGATTCATTTTTGTCGTAAGAATCACGACATTTCAAAACAGCTTAATTATAATATTATTTATAAAAATCATATAACAAAAACTACATACTAATAATACAAAAATTGAATGTAATATTATATTAAAACTATCTAGGCTGCCGCTAACTATTTGAAAACTATTTGGAAAAATGATATGCTTTTATGAACGCAATAAATTCTAATGTATTAATGAAATGTCGCATCATCGTTATTGTAGGATTAAATAGTTCTTTTTATAAAGACTAACTCGGACTATACAAAAGATAACATATATGTATATAATAATTATGGAAAATGTGTAATTTGCGCCGATAATTTACTTTATTGTTAAAGTTCGGTACTTTATTATTATTACTTTTTTAATATTATAAATATGACAATCTTATGTATCAATATTTTATCATTTCTTTTTCACTGTATTATACACCAGTATTCAACTTGAGTAATATGTCTCACATATCAATTAAAAACATAAGAACACTTCTCTATCAGCTGATTGATGACAGCTAACCTCATTTCCCCAAAGGACCGTCATCACGAAAATCACAAAAGTTTCAATCAATGTGAATTTGTCCAACAATTCTTTTCTCGACTAAAACTTATATGAAATTACTTCCGTACACTTTATCTATGAACAAAACTTTGTATGATTATTTTAAAACTTACAACAAATATCAAATGTTTTCCTAATAATAAATAAGTTTTCCAACATCCTCATTAAGAAATTTCATCTAAAATAATATACACCTGTTAACACAATTGAAAGGACGAAACACCACCAACGCCGACATTCGTTACAGTAAATCGTTGAAATCAAAATTTTTAAAATGCTTAAAGCACGTTAGTCACAAACATAATTTGTCTTAAAACTCAGAAATTACACGTAAAATAACAGTATATTCCTATCAACACAACTCAGGAGTCAAAACACTAACACCGATGGTTTTAATTACAATAAATCGACCAGATACTTATAAATTTGAATTAAATGTAAAATTTTAATAAACGATATCGTAATAATCGACCAACGATAAACACAACTAACTTTTCGAAGAATTTAGAATTTCATTTAAAATAACGATATGCTATAAATCAACGGAGTACTCAGGAACACAGTCGGTTTATAAATAAACAACACTCTTTTAATAAAAAGCGAAACTGGTTATCACACGAATTCCCTAGAAACGATTGTAAACAGAGCCATCAAGTTGATCATTAAGCATCGAAAGACCTATTTGTGCAGAAAATAATGGGGATTCGGTCGATGGGTTCCTCACCTATGGTCGAAATATATGTGTCGTAGTAACGTTCGTCACAATAACGATGAACGATGCAGGTTTTCCCGACGTTCGAGTCACCGAGCACCAGAACTTTATAAGTGGCTGCAAAATCGAGCGGCATGTTTGCTTTAAGCTGTTTTTGATCTGTTGTCGGGTCAAGAAGAGAGTCGTCGGCCGAGGTTGTTCTTTAGATACTTTAGGAGTGGAGGATCGATTCGAGGCCTGCGCTTTTCTCGGTGACTAAAGCTGCCTTCACAATCGTTACATTTCATTTGACATGCGCGACTAAGAATGTTTTCAACATTATTTGAACCTGATACATTCTTATTCGAACGTGAAAATCTGTCTCTTCACAATATCGAAGTTAAATGTTGCTTAATTGGTTTGTTCGATAATTCTCTGTTACTTTAATAAACTATTTTATTATTTTATCGAATGATTTGTAAAAATTATTTTGTGATTACATTATATATAATTTCAGATAGCCATGGGTATTGATAAATTCATATACTATACGTACAGACTAAGAACAAACAACGGGAACCAAATTAAATTGAATCTCTTTTCTTCACTTTCAGAGTTATGGAATTAAATATAGAATAAATAACTTACGAAATTTTATGAATATGACTGTTTTAGTTGTTTTCACAGCTGTATACTGTATGTGTCTTAATCATTATTTGAACTACTTTTGTGGACGAAATTGAAATACAGAACAAACTGTTGACGGAAACGGAAAATTAATTTCTCTTCAAACATTATTATGTACGTTCATTTATTTTGTGCTATCAAAATTCACTGTCATATGTATATAGGTCAGCAATACATCTTCTGAAACACATAATACGTGTTACGAAAAGTAACGAACGTTTTTCTATCGTAAATCTTTATCCGTAATAAACAATCGCTAAAGCAATTGTTACTCGAAACATTCCCCCTTTTTTTATAATGTTATATCATTTTTCTGGCGAAAGTAAAATTTCTTGTCGATAAGATAAAACCTATCAATATTAACATTAAGAATATCAATATTAAATACTACAGTCATTACTCTTAAACATTACACAGTAGTTGCAGGTTTTCATACTACGTATTTTCGAAATTGTGTTTTCGAAACAATTCGAACGCGTAAACGCGGTATCGGTGCTCTCCGTCGGTCCAACGCGCTAGTGACGTTGCGTCACAGAGTTTATTGACCTAGCCGTGTACGCAGTGTATCATGGCCGCGTACCTAGCCGTACCATCCGATGTTTGGGTCGTTCAAGGAAGGTCGTTCAAGCCGGCAAAAACAATTCAACACGAACAAACCTGTGTACGCCCAATACATAACGACGTTAGCTTCCTCACTTTCTCTTGAGCTGTCGCGGAGGGTGGGCGCGCGTCTCATACTCGTCCTTTCTCTTGTTACTAACCCATTGTTTGTTGCAGGCATTCGACAACCATCAATTTATTTACTGTGCATATTGTCGTGTCCCCTCTCTTGTTACTAATCCCTTGTATGTTACAGATGTTCGAGAACCATTGGCTTCGATATTTATCTTCTTATGTACTGTGATTCATTTACTGTGATTTATTTACTGTGCATATTATGTATTCTATGTGTATTGTATAATGAAAAATATTTTTCCAATCAGTTATTCCATCGAAAGAAGACATCGATCAACGTCTACATCTTCAAAGCGTGCGTCTACTACCGCGTTAAGTTACTGTAAGTTAAACTTAAATCATAATTCGATATTCATTGTTATATTCATATTCATCATCACATCGTTTATTATTAATTTTAGTCTATCTATTCATTGACTTAAATTGTCACTATCCATTGTGCATACCAAGTTATTATTAATTCATTTTGCTCGTTGATTCTCTACACAGACTTGGGGCAGTGATGTCAGGACGTGGGATTTTTCCCACGCATGCGCACTACCTAATCCTCAGTAACGTATATACTTCACTCAAATACGGGGTATCGTTAGACCCCCGTGACAATTGAAATACGGTAGAAATTACAGGAAGAGGACATTTTTAAAAGAAATAACATATTTACATGGAAATAAATGAATATATATTTTTTTTATTATTTTGTACATCTGCAGCCGATTTATTACATGAATACAAACATTTGTTGCGAGAGTAAGAACAACTGCAGAAAACCTTACTAGTATTCAAACAAGAACATTATATATAAAACATATAGTCGTGCTTACATCAATTAATATTGAAAATTTCTGAATTTTTAATTCTGTAATAAGCTTATCGCTTTCGCGTTTGCCTATTACA